AAGTCAACATGTCAAAAGTATTAATTAAACCAAAGGAACTGAATAATTTGGGACTTCGTTATTCAATTCATTTGGACTGACAACATTTGAAGTCTTAAACATTGCAAAAGAACTTACAACAGATATTGGAACAGCCAAAAATGACAAAATAATTGCGATGAAAGAACATAAGAATGGGAATATCAGATACGTTGAGTCTGAATCGCTTCCCGACTGACACGTATCGCACTGAGTATGATATTCAGTCTTTTCTTCCTCTGGTATAACACACGCACAGTTTCCTTCATCGTAATAATCATAGCAGCATTTGTGCTCTCGGTTAGTCTAAATACATTTACAAATAAATAAGTCTTATATATCTATAACAAACTTTTTTTTCAAATTTGGCTATATCATCGCCTTCGAGTGTAAAGTCTTTACACTTCAGAGTGAAAGTCACGACTAAAAAGATGACGGACACAATGAACATACAGATCACAACGCCATTCGAAGTAAATAAATACGATTTCTTGACTTCTTTTGATACACCATAATACACTGCCATAGTTATAAACACAATTGCCAAGACTAAATTTATAAATGAAATGGTCAGTGATATATAAAATTCACTTATATAATAGTTTCGATTTCTTCCTATATATTTGTCAAACGATTGCAGTGACATTATGTCGACAACGGCTCCTGCAAAAAAGCTTGCCTTTATTGTGAGTATATATCTTTGTTATATTGAAAGATAGACAAACAAGTAGTAGCAAAGTGAAGAGAGAGAAAACGGTAAGCACAATTACTTTACATGTGATGACACAACACAACTTCATCAAATGATTTAATCGATTTTTAATATGGAAATTAAATTTGATAACTAATTATTCTATAATTATTCGTATGGTATTTTTGAAAAACACTTGCTAATCAAATTTTTTTAATAAAAATAGTTCATTTTTTGGTATGTTTGAGTGTTACTAATATTACTAAGAAATTATAAATTTAATTATATAAAATAGTTTAAATACAGATTTATTA